GAAGAATTAGACATTGGTAGTGATTGGAAAAAGCTGTTAGCTAAAGCAAAAAAAAAAAAAAACAAAAAAAAAAAAAAACAAAAAAAAAAAACAATTATTATACATAGAATAAATTACAATAGGAACAAAAGTGATTTGTGATCAGAAGCAGGATGTCGGAGCATGAATTTATAGGAGTAATAGGGTTAATAGAGTAAGATATATTTTTAAGCGTTACAGGGTGAAATGAGCAAAGAGAAGCAAATAAATATACTTAAGTTGTAGATATGGGTATGGGAATGAAAACACAAAATAATCTAGTAAATTTCTGACGGCAAAATTGTGCTATAAATTATAATTGTATGCTCTCTCTCTTAAGAGTCTTGTGGAAACAGGGGCAACAAAAAGATCGTGACAACGGGAAACCTCGGTATTTCAAGAGAGAAATGTGACTAGGCTGCAGGTGATGCTAACTGAAAACTGGGCCACAGCGACTTCATGCACCATCTGGAGCAATTACCAGTTTCAGGAGAGAGAGAGATATAGATACTGAGAGAGACAAGCCTGCGCAGGTAGCGTTCACACGTCACTGAGCGAGCCTCTTAATTTGTCTTCTCCGGATAGGTTGACCCACCGACGCCCTAGGCTAAATAGAGGCCGCTGCTATCAACGCATTCAAGTTTTTAAGCAGGTTCCGTGGCTAAGACGGTCTACTGTTCTAGCTTTGCTCAATCGTAAACGAACGATCCAGCTGTGTTTAGGCGTGTGCTTCTAAAAACGCTCCTTCTCGTAAGAAACGAAGTTTAAACGAATTAGATTACTTCTGCCCCACAGTGTGCAATATGCCCAAGAACTAGAAAAAAAACAACAACAACTCACCTCCAAGGCAATAAAGTGTAAGGTAAGTTAATTCTTTACATAATTTGATTATTATATATTTAATACTATAATAGTTGCATTTTTTTCTGTAAAGAAAACATCACCTTGTGAAAGTTTTGATGTAAACAGAGGTACGCTGTTGAACATGAACTGTTGGAAGGCTTAACGTTATATAGAGATTGATTGAGATTTAGCCATTATTAGTCTATGGAAAGCAAAATAATAAGTGAAATATTATTTTGTCGAGCGCGTGTTTGGCTGAAAACATAACGGAAACGTTGTGCGGTTAAATACACGAACATTAAGACGTGAAATCGGTTTTTAACTGAACTGTTGGAAGGCTTAACGTTATATAGAGATTGATTGAGATTTAGCCTTTATTAGTCTATGGAAAGCAAAATAATAATTGAAATATTGGCGAGCGCGTGTTTGGCTGAAAACATAACAGAAACGTTGTGCGGTTAAATACACGAACATTAAGACGTGAAATCGGTTTTTAACTGAACAGTTGTAGAGTAGCTTTAGTTATAGTGTGCTGTTACAAGAAAAGCAGTGTTCACTACAGTCCCCAGGGGTCCCGTTACACCAGTAAAGATCCAACAGGTGCACATATTTGTTGTTCACTTCCGGAATCCTTCCTCTGGTGGTGGCACCGGGAACAAAACCTTTGTACTATATATATAGTTAAAGAACATACTTCTACACATACGCACACATTATGAAAATAATGATAAAAGCCAACAACTGTATTATTATTGTATTTACAGTAAATTACTACATTAACTAACGCCTTCAACCATTTAGGTGTGTGAAATTATCTTTTTTAGGCTTGGTTTTATTTCTACATAAATGTAGGCAGTTTAACTTTTTTCATCTAGAAAGTAATCAACTTTTGTTAGGTTGTCATAAACTGTGTCAGAGTTGAATTTTTTTTTTAAGTGAGGAATGAATTGCAAAAGCAACAACAAGACACAAACTGTGACGTAGAAAATGATTTTCGTAACACCACGAGATGACAAATGTTATTAACCTTCATTAAAGTTAGGCATAGTTCTTACTTCCCCTCTTACAAAGTCGAAAAGTTTGAAGTACCTTAGCATTGTACGCCCTAGATAATGTGTTTTCTACTATCCAAACCTGTGTAACCCTTATTATCTCGAGTAACCCCCGTTTTTTTTTGGTGGGGTTACAAACCCCAAAATTATTTTGTTTTCTTGAGAAAAACCATAATTTCTGTAAACATAATATATATTCAAATTCTTCCTCTCAAATTCGATTACTAATAACAGAAAACATCCGGGTATCTATCATTAAGAATCCGAATATTAGTCATTGATTAAGTTGAATCGCTTGAAGTCGTACAGACTCCACCCAAGTAGTTATGAGTGAAAACGTTTGCACCCAAACAACTTCCGCAATATCTTCCTTAATTGCAGAACGAAGAACAACCTTAGAAAACATCCGGGTATCTATAATTAAGAATCCGAATATTAGTCATTGATTGAGTTGAATCGCTTGAAGTCGTACAGACTCCACCCAAGTAGTTATGAGTGAAAACGTTTGCATCCAAACAACTTCCGTAATATCTTCCTTACTTGCACTCCACCCAAGTAGTTATGAGTGAAAACGTTTGCATCTAAACAACTTCCGTAATATCTTCCTTACTTGCAGAACGAAGTGCAACCTTTCTGGTTGGCTGTTACTTGATTTCGGCCTTGATGAAAGGAGGTATCTCTGGGCCTGAAGCTCGAGAGAATAATCTTGTTTTTATTTTCTGTATCTAGATCAGGTGGTTCGGTAGTCTAAAAATTTCACTTAGTTTTGCATATCTAGCCTGAAGAGAGAGAGAGAGAGAAAAAAAAATCGGTTATATATCAAAGCATGTCAAAACAAATGCTATAAACAAATAATATTTCTTTATTTTTAAATAGGATATCGTGTTAGCTGCCACGTGTTAAATATGAAGAGCTTGGATAATACTTTATTTTGCACGTTTAATAACTGTAGAAATAACCTACAAATTCCGAAACGTTAGGCTTACGAATAACAATTTTTGTTAGCCATTTTGTGTTAATATCAGGCTTGACTGTCAACTACATACACACACGAGCGCCGCATACAGTTTTACTTATTTATGGACAGACCCGAGTTATCAACTATAGAATGACTATTATAAAATTGAATAAAGTAATGCCCCCCCCCCCAGTGGCACAGCGGTATGTCTGCGGACTTACAACGCTAGAAGCCGGGTTTCGATACCCGAGGTGGGCAGATCACAGATAGCTCATTGTGTTCACCGTCAATTTTATAAAACACTCACGATTCCACAGTAAGGAGCGCGATTTTGTATTTTCGATCACGGGACGCGAACAGTAGACCCTCAGTTTTCCAGTACGGCACGCTAGCCACTAAGCTACTCTAGGCCTATTTCAATACCAATAGTTTTAAAAAGGGCATGGACCCACAAGCAATTTGGAGCACAAATAGCGTAGAAAAGCGTGTTTAAAAAACCAATATCTCCATACTGACCCTATAGGAAATTTTGAGGTTGAGTTGAGTATCAAACGAGGCATAATGACAATATATTTCATTAAACTATAATAGTTTCTGCTTTACTGACTTAAAAATGTAATAATTATCTGTCAACTGGATATTTTATGTTTGTATTATGGTTTCAACAATCTTTCTTGTATAGCAAATCATGAACCATTATTTTATTTGTGTTTGTTTGAAGTTAAACACAAAGCTGATCTTGCTACTCGATTACAGTAGCCTAAGTGTTAACAGTTGTTGCTGTTGACTGGCTGCCTTGCCTCTAGCTTATCAGTTCAAAATCAAGAAGGGCTAGCGCAAGTAGCCCTTGCGAAGCTCTGCGTGAATATTCGAAACAAACGCATACAAAAAAAAAAGTTTGTCGACTGCTAATTAGCAACGAATGAAGACAACTTTATCTCGTTGAAACGCTGTACACTTTTCACTACGTTTTCTTCGTTACCCATTCAAGCCGTCTACAAATTTTAATGTTTCAAAATAGATTCCTCGTCATCAAAGTGAAACGCATATATATATGTAAACAAACATACTATTGATGTTCTAATTAGTCCCGTTGTTGATGTTTTCTATGAAGTTTACATATCAAATAAGTAATTACTTTCACCAAATTTTCTTAGTTTTTTTTAACGATAAGAGTTGTAACAGACAGAAACACGAAATTAGTTATTAGGTTGCAATACGTAGACACCACTAGTAGTTAAAAGTGTAGAACGAAGCCGGTAATCAGAGGGATGGGGATATATGAGAATTTCTTATGAACAGAGGGGGGGGGGGGGATAAATGAGAATTTCTTATAAACAGAGGGGGTTATATGAACATTTCTTATAAACCACAACATATATAATGTAACCTCTCGTAAGTTTCAGATTAAAACATAAAGGAATATATAAAGGAAGATAAACACTTCTTAAATACGATTTTTTTCTTTATTATTATTTTAAGTCACTTTACCGTACAGATCTGCACTTTTTGTAACCCATGACTACTTGGCAGAAGAACCAAAAATATTGTATGTGTCGTCCTATCTTGCGTCTGTCTGATGCTTTAGCGAATAGTAGTGATCATCTAATTATTCTGCTGTTTGGGTTTGGTTGGTATTTAACCATTTATCTTTTTGTTACACAATATATGCTGTTGAATATCATCTGCAAGTATAGTCATATAGTTCAGCCGTGAGGACGTTATAATGTGACGACCAATCCCACTCTTCGTTGGTAAAAGAGTAGCCCAAACGTTGGCGGTGGGTGGTGATGACTAGCTGCCTTCCCTCTAGTCATTCACTGCTAAATTAGGGACGGCTAGCGCAGATAGCCCTCGTGCAGCTTTGCGCGAAATTCAAACAAACGAAACCTTAGAAGCTATTACAGGATGCTACAACGTACTTGAAGAGTTGGGAACTCCATGACTTTAATAGTAAATAACACGGAAGTAGTTTCTTGAATTAAAAAATATATATATTACAAGATAATCGATCCTAAGGGTTTCGTACTCCGATAAACGAATTTACCATATTTGTTCGCGTACAACCAGCATAATGTTGTAATTTTTACAGTTTTCCGTAAATAGGAACTGAGTGGAGCAGTCAATCACAAAGCTGCTGTAACTGATGCCTAAAAAATGTCGGTAAATTTCCGGGTCACTTTCATTTCGAAAAATCACAATTTGCATTGGTAAACCGAAACAGTTCTAGCGTTTGTTATTAAACACAAAGCTACACAATGGGCTGTTAGTGCTGTGCTCATCACAGGTATCGAAACCCGAATTTTAGCGTCATAAGTCCAGACACTTGCCGCTGAGCCACTGGGGGTGTTATAGGAGAAACAAAACTCTAGGAAAGACAGCTTGAAAGTGATTAAGTTACTTAACCAAGATATTTATACTATTTTTGAGAACAATAATATTTTTTATGGCTTATACATCTTTTGGCACATTGTTTATTGATATGTTTAACAGTACTTCGAAATAGGGAACTGTACATTCTTTACAGACTTCTAAACTTTAGTGTTTGGAAGCAAGTCATCTGAAGGAAATGGATAATTATCTTTCATAACGAAACAGAGCAGAAAGATGCTAATTGAGTTGTTAGATTGCGCAAAATAAATTCGTAAAAAAAACAACAACACATTTTAAGTTATCATATCAAAATTGTGTGAACCTATCGAAGCTTTGTTGACGTCTAACGTTTAAGCTTTGAAACAGAAGCCTGGATTCCCATGATTCCGAAAGACTTGCAGGTTTGCCAGGTCTTGTTTAATAGTACCAATTATATGCTAGGTTGCCATTCCAGCCTTAATGCCCCGGTTTCAATAAAAAACGTCATACGTAAATTATTGTAATACACCCGTTTCGTCACACTTTTAGTTCCGTTATGCAATATAAAACTTCTTTATTTTTAAACACCGATAATTAGGCTTAAGTCTCCATGGAACAAATGATCTTCTGATTTTTGTTGCAAATGAGTTTATAGCTCTCCTCCAGTTTTAATTTCGAGGCTTCAATATATTTTTCTTTTGCCAATTTTCCTACTTTACTAGTATTTTAAAAATCTGCTTTTTAACACCCAGTCTGAGAGCTAGGGACACTTTTTTTTAGGGGAGTTGATTCCAAAACAAAGGTTTCCGGAGCTCTATCTCTAAAGATGTGAATTCCGTGAAATATCTCAATTGTCCACCAGCGTGGACGAATACACACTCGTTTCCAAGCTATGAGAGAGCATAACTCGTACCCCTCCATTCAGATTTCTACACAAAACACAGTAGTGGCCACACATGTTGCGCAATACTAGACCTGGTTTCTCAGCTCCATAAAGATGTTTTCTACGCGTGTTCTGTCGATAGAGATGGCCGAGGAAAGTTCAGCTAAGCTTACTTACTGCAGTAAGGTGGCTAGTGTGGTACTTGTCTGAACATGAACACTAAACTATTGTGTGCAAGAGGAACAGTCCACCTCCACACCACTAAACTCTGCATTTTCGTGGACAAACATTATTGAGAAGTGAGATCTTTGGGTAGTAAAGTGTGGGTTAGATAGAGCCCTTTATTAGAATATATATTTTTTTTCTTTGGGTCTAACTTTAATACCGGAAACTGTAACACCCTTTGTAGCCCACCCACTTCCACGAGGTCGGTTTCATCGACTCTCGGACTGGGTGTTAAATACATCCGTTTAAATATTGACATTAGCCAATGTATCATGATATTATATTTCTTCAAATACCAACAGCTTCGCACCAATTTAGTTATACCTACTTCCTAGAAGCAACTAACACAAACAAACCTCAACAATCAAAGTGATCTCTTCAAGTCCGTCTATTATTGTGTTGTTTGCAGAGAGTTTCGAATGTGGCAGCTGTAATCAATTATTTTTTCTCTCTAACTTTACATTCGTTTCATAAGCTGAATCTTTAGATCGACCACTTATGTTTAGGATAAAATAAATTACAGGTGGTTTGATATGAGTAACTATTTAGCATACAGACGTCCTAACATACAGAATTTCTCCCACGTATTAAAATAATATAAAGTTGTTGTTCCATTTGTTTGAAACAGAAAATAAAACAAAACGACAACGTAACAATCGACAAGTTCCTTTATATTAGCGTATAAAGTTCTTTGATTTCCAGAATGTATTAGAACAATGATCACCTAGAAAAGGACCCAAAGAAATCCACAACTTTTTTTTTTTCAGTAAATAAAATCAACTAGTTATTTTCAACTACTGTTCTATGTGGAGAAACATCAAAGATGTCCTCCAAGGCGATTTTACAAAAACACTTTAACCCAACTGTCAACGTCACGGAACGCTGAATTCTTTTTAAATCAACGTTCTGAAAGTCATGTAATAAAAACTTGATTCTTCCATAAGTGGGTTTGTAATACTGTCAGAAACGCAATGTTCTTTAATTATACCGTACAATTCACGCCGTTTTTCATGGTCTTTGTGACAAGTTGGTCATCAGTCTTTATAGTATTCAGTAAAGTACATTGTCAAGTATAATATATGGTTCTCTATACGTTGGTAAACATGATGTTGCTTACGTAGAAATAGGTATGGTAATTCTCACAAGAACGATCAGGTAAACTTCCTAGTATAGAAGTTTCTTTTGTGACGTCATACCACCACGTGCCAGTCTTCTTAGCCAAAGATATCCTATACGAGGTGGAAAACTTGCTCTGTTTAAATATTCAAAAATAATTTACTACGCTTTCTTAGGCTAGTTTTTTTGAAGTTAAACACAATGCTACACAATGGGCTATCTGTGCTCTGCCCACCACGGGTATAGGAACCCGGTTTCTAGCGTTGTAAGTCCGCAGACATACCGCCGTGCCACTGAGATGGGGGGGAGGGGGAGAGCTTTCTTAGGTATCGTTTACCGAAATAAACATGTTTATGCAATACTAACCAAAGAGTACTGTTTTTTTTTAATTACACAACTATCGAATAGAAAGTAACTTGACTGGGACACGTAAGGAAAATTAACCTTAAGCACTAGTGCCCGGAATAGATGTTCTCTTGAGACATCTGTGTATGTACATATATAGTTATGTGATGAAAAGTCTGGTATAATGTGACCTTTGAGAAACAAAGTTTATATACAAATGAAAAGAAAAAAAGTTAGATAAAAAAATTTAAACACAAAAGGGTTGTTCTTTTAAAAGCAAGACTTGTATAAATTTGTTTGGCTTACATAAAAGTTTATATATATATTAATAAAATACACGTGCAAGAGTTCGAATTTGGCTCGCTATCATGGTAGACCAGTAATAAATCAATCAGGTTAACAATTATGCATTCGTTCTAATCATATTCATCGTGACTTCTAGTGGAAAAACGCTGTTTAATATATATATATATATATATACAGCCCCCCAGTGACACAGCGGTATGTCTGCGGACTTACAACGCTAGAAACCGGGTTTCGATACCCGTGGTGGGCAGAGCACAGATAGCCCTTGTGTAGCTTTGTGCGTAATTAAAAACAAACAATATATATATATACACACACATTATCTGTGTAGCTCTTCTTTATACCCCCCTCCTTTTCCTTTTCATGCTACCAGTCCACAGATATTAGTTTTGTGTTGCATATTTATTTCAAAATATTATACGATAGCGTTGAAATCAACCTCGTTTTTGTCACATTAATGAACCAACCACGTCCCTTAAACCTACTTCCCTCGAGCTGGACATCTGCTGTTATATTAAAAATGTGATAAACGCGACTAGATAGGCATCTCCGTGGAAAGGTGTATCGTTCCAGTTCATGTAATAATACTCTACTGAGCAGGCGGCACGCCTTTATTAATGTAACGGCGCATATCACAAAGTGACACAAAGCCTTTAAAGTTACTACAGGCTCTTTAAAACAAGAACCTGTCTTATATCATGTTTTTGTTTATTAGTATATATATATGTATTTAAGCAAGTTATCCCTGAGAATTTAAATATCGAGCACATGTAAAAGTTATTTTAAATAACCTAAACAGAATTTATGTCAAAGTTACGTATATAATTTAATAAGGGGGTTGATTTGTTGCGTAAACAGGGAGCTTATGTTCGAGATAAGTAGGTAACTTAAGAAAGGAAATGATGCGTGAGTTATATAGGACACGTAAAGAGGGATTTATGCGCGAAGGGTACAGGAACTGATGAGCGAAACGCAAAGAGCTGATGTGCGAGATACGTAGAAAACAAAGGCGTGAACTGATCCCTTGGGGAACTGATGAGATATATATGTGGAGGATTTTACGCAATCGGTTCAAGAAGATCCAACTAGAACGTTATCATAATATAAATTATCACTTATTAATACCTATAAACTATTCTATGTATAATTTGTTCATCGGGTCGCATCAACAAAGACAATCAAAGCGTTTAATGGCATAATTAATTGTTTAAATTTAATTTTGAAATGGTTACAAATGCAATTCCTTATTCGTTTAAAAATATGGTGGTTAGTTTCGAAGCTCAATACAATATTGCCCCCAAGTGGCACTGCAGTAAGTCTGTAGGTTTATAACGATAACAAAAACTGGCTTTCGATACCTGCAGAGGGCACAGCACAGGTATCCCATTTTGTAGCTTTCTGCTTGACAACAAACAAAAAATACAGTAATGAAAACCATAACAAAAAATTCTATTGTCAGGTGTTTAAAGGATGTCATACTGTAAGAACAAGTAATATAATAACTGGAAATGTAATCAAATACCTCCTTGTATTCCAGGAAATAAAACATCTTATGGTAATCGATCCCAAGCCGGTGTTTTCTTCTTCTTCCTGTTACCATGATTACGGACGTACCTCTTCGTTCAGTGACTGTTACCAGAATCCTCTGATGAAGATGTACAACCGCCATCATTTAGGATCTCCCAAGCAGGCTACAGTGTATCCTGATCCATTGTCCGTCGTGCCTCTACCACGTTCCGTCCATTCCATTGCAATGAACCTGTCTCCCGTATTCGATTTGGGTATGCCCTTTGACCTCTCCTTGCATAAGAACAGAGTTCCCGCTGACGACCGACCACAGTTCCAGTCTGCTGTTCAGGACGACAGCCAAGATGACGGACCGTTAGACCTTCGGGTCTCGTACAAAAAACGGTCTTTTCTGTCAAACCATACTCCACACAAGTCGCACGTTCATGATCTCAAAGGCACACCCTTTGGTAACCTTGGAGACGAAGCCTCGTCCTCAGGGTTACAGATGATTTATCCTCGTCCTCTCCACCCACTATTTCTAGAGTCGATCTACAAAATTGAACACGACAAACCAGCTTTTCCGGTTTTTGGCCAACCTGAATGTGCTTCAACGACCATTCACTCTCGATACCCTTTTTATGACGCTTTTCTCAATAACCGATCTTCATCTTTCGACTTTGTACGAGCACAAATCGAAAAACTCGGTAAGCCTATGCACGACGTACTTTATCCACACTCCAATAAATCAAAAGAACGTTATTCCTGCAAGTTCTGTGGTAAAGTGTTCCCTCGCTCGGCGAATCTCACTCGCCATCTTCGGACCCACACGGGAGAACAGCCGTACAAATGTAAATACTGTGAAAGATCGTTCAGTATTTCTTCCAACCTTCAGCGCCATGTCCGTAACATCCACAACAAAGAGAAGCCCTTTAAGTGTTCGATGTGCGATCGAAGTTTTGGACAACAGACCAATCTGGATCGACACTTGAAGAAACACGAATCAGATGGACCAACCATTCTTGACGATTCTCCAAAACAAGCCAAAATCATAGATAGAACAGACACATATTTTGACGAGATTCGGAATTTTATCGGTAAGGTTACTGATTCTCTGCCCACTGATGTCCACAAAGCTCTTAACTCTGCTCTGGACTCTAATTTTTCCATCACTGATCAACTGGAGAGAAAACAGTTCCTACCGTTAATAAAGAAGCCGCCTCAACAAAAAGCATCAATCATCCAAAGTCAAGTTGATGATGACGATGGTAAAGGAAGCTTAGAATACGAGGTTCCCACTAAGATAAAGAGGAAAGAAAATGATGTAGAAGATTATAACTTCAGCTCTGACAGGAACAGTGACATGTCTCCAAGAGACACAACGAACTCCGAGGGGGACAGTCAATCCACTGATGATCGAGAATTGTCCATTTCTTATGAAACTAAAACTAACGACTCTCAGAGTTCCGATGAAACTGAAGAGGAAACAGCTGCAGAACACGTGAATGGTGATGATAAAGATTGACAATGCTCAACCGTTAGAACGTTCCCTGCTCATATGTCTGGCAGCCATAGAGACTAGTCAGAAGCAACAGATCATTTAAACGAGAAGAGGGAAATAGCTCAGTCACCGTTTTCTGTTCAAATGTGACTTTTGTCAAGTTTCTCCGTCAGTAAATTTATCTTTCTTAGAGTTCTAGTCATTGATCAGCCATATCTATATTCAGAAGAGTTTATTACTAATATTACACAATATAATATTTTTAACCCGTTCAAATAACTGTATATATAATATATTGACAAAATAGAACTGGAAACTAGTTTATTTTTGTTATTAATAGTTCTACATACTAATATAAACACCACGTTCAATTCGATAATTATGAACCCTACACTTTAAAATAAGTAAGCAAATATTTCCTTTTAAAACGACTCTAGTGTTCGATCATCGAAAATAAACTAGTTAAATTTCTTATCTATTTTGGACTTATGTGGATCGTACGGGCAGACAAACACAGCTAATTGTCCCGTGAAGACCAAAATTCTTCCCTTTCTCTTCTCAAGAGTTTGTTTTAATTTTACGATGAACAGAAAATGGATGTTACAAATATTTTCTGACCTCGGATACCAAGACAGTAGTTTTAAGATGCTAGCAGCCACGTAGTTCTTTTTGTCAAGGCAAACAATGTTGATAGATCTGGATCATATTTATCGTCCACTTTCAGAGCAGGCCATGACCTAATTTTGACATTAGTACCAATGTCTATATTTCTTGTACAGATAGATACCAGAACGTGTCTTTCAGTGGTCATTGATCTGGTTGGGCTTACCAGCTATAACGATGTCTTCGCAATGATGATCTTAAAGAGAAAGGAAACGTCTTTAGATGGAGATTCCAAACTTGTCTTTATGTATGGATACTGTGATGTATGCTTGTACGACGGACTATACGACGACGATTATCGTAATCGAAGTGAATCAGAAGCATAAAAGCGACTAAAATTACAACAATTTGAGAATTGATCTCAGGAGAGTAATCTAAGCACAAGTATCTATCATAAAATGTGTTTAAACTCAAGAGCAAATAAAAAATAATTTTGACGTGTTTTGTTAAAAAAAAAGAATAAATGAAACGACAATAATAAAAGTAAGTTTTCTTTGCCAACCTAGCTTCCATCATAAGTCATAACATATCAAAAAACTTTATCAACAATTTGACACCCTAAAGCACTTCAATCATTTGTTTCATCAGCTGTTTTTCTACGGCATAAAAAAAAGCTACAATCGTTATGCTTTCCATTGCAATGTGATCAGTTTATATATATGAAAACTTTGCAAAATAGGCTCATCTTTCCAAGATATAGGTTAAAACGCAAAAGCATCCTCCCGTCAGTAAAGACGTATTTGTGCGCGTAACGTCAGAAGACAAAATTCGAAATGGCCTCCATCCACGCCTGCGTGTTTCCTTTGAAATGTGTCGTTTGTTTAGATACATCACCAAGTGAGAAAACTTGTATCGTTTATCGAATAGCTAGCTTCACTATTAATCCGGAGTCTCTCTATATAAAGTGTTATAATAATTTCGTTACCTCTATGATTGTGTTAAGTTAATTACTATGAAATGAGGAAAAACTAAATCCGTCCAAGTAGGATATATATATATTTTAAACACCAATTAGAGCAAGCTATTACGGCGACGTTTGTTGACGATTTATATGGTATATATTGTTCTATAAGTTGTTCTACTTGTAAATTTGTATTGATGTATAATTGTAGATTTGTTTTTATAATCGGAAGTTTCTAGATGTTTTACTTTTTTTTTCTTCTGTGATTATTTAGATTTAAACTATTTAAGATGAGTGTGATGAGATGTAGTTTGTCAGAAAAATAAAAACATTCCATTGGAAAAAAAAGCACACCACTGTATAAGTGGGCGATTTTTCCATTTTAAGACGCTTAGTTTCGTTAGTCTCACGCAGAATATGTATAGTTAAAATATTTATTTATAAATAAAACCAGAAAATTATTTATTTTCGTAAACGGAAAGGTTAAATAGAATTTACGATAAATATATAGAGCTAGGAAAGTGGTCACTTTTTTAAATGTAAAATTCACATGTCACAAAAATACGTTGATATACAGGGTGACCGAAAAATCTAGAACCGCACGCATTTCAACGAATTTTACAGAATGTGTTCCACGTATACGTGTCAATGAATTTGTTGTTTCTGATGTTCGGTATCCCTGGTCGTCTCTTTGTACACATGTACCTTGGACAGTCTCCAGAAAAAAGCAATCCATGGGAGTCAAGTCCGGAAATCTTGGGGCCCATTCCTGGGGACCACGTTTGTCAATCCATTGTTCTGGAAATATTTCATTCACGTATCTGAAATTAAGAAAAGCTGGTTCCAGACTTTTCTGACACCCTGTAGAAGTGTAATGGATCATTATTAACTAGCATTCACGTGAAGTTTTATATTTTATTGTCATAAACGTGAATGATATTCCTTGAGTCGTTGTTTTCATAAGTGTTCTGTTTTTTATTTTATCTCGTGTAAATACTTATTTTAAGTACACAGTGTCGAAAGTTGAATATACCTTTGTAAGCTTAGATACATTCATTTCCATGTCGAAATTTGTTTACATCAAACGTAAACAAAAATATAAAAAATGCAAGTTTACCCCATAATTTTGGTGATTATTTACCAAATTCAAGTAATTTTCATTAAAAGAAAATATATCCTGTGGAAATTATTTTAAATATTTACAAAGATAAAAAAGATTACGTAAGAATTATTCAATTAAATATATAATTTGATGATGATTGAATTGCATTATGACAAAATTTTTATTTAATTCTATGGTTTGTATGATGCGAAGGAGAAATACTTTAAATCCATATTTTGTAAATTTATAGATAATATAATGCAACGAAGATTATCTGTAATTACTTGATAAATTTGTGATGACTATCTGTAAATCTGTAGAATATATCTTAAGAGAATGATCTAATTCCACAGAATACATGTAACGATAATTATCTATAATTCTTTAGAATATAAGTGATTAGGATTATTTAACATTCTACGGAATGTTAAGAGAATGATTTAATTCTACAGAATATGTGATGAGGATTCTACATGTGCATCAATTGTTTGCACTCGGTACTTGTAGAGACATTATTTTTGTTATTGTTAAAAGAAATCGTTAATTGTGTGTGTGTGTGTAAAAGGAAAATCGATTAAAAAATACACAAAAATAAACACGGAGTGGGCCCATTGATTTTGTTTCACGTTTATTTTCTTTTTATTTACAGATGGAAACTAAGAGAACAAAAAAAAAGAAAGCTAATAACTTGCATCTTTATTAATTTACATCTTTTGATAACGTGTGGAGTTCTAAAAGTTTTGGTGTAAGTTAGATAAAATGCATACTGTATTATCATTCAGTAATCTGTTAGGTTGTAATTTTGATTTTAAAAAAATCCGACACTTTCTGTTTTAAATTCAGATTTAACATGGCTCTAAAGACGTGCTTCGTATTAATTTAAAGACGAGAGGAGGGAAAGCACTACAACATTAGATAAAGGTTAGAAACTAAGCTCAGTATTTTCAACCTCAACGAGCCCCACCTTATAGGTATGTGGGTTATAACCACACTAAGACTTCACGATTCGGGCACAGACATTCCTAATTTAGAGCTTTTTATCAGAAAGGGGGGATATAACATCAACATTACGCACCGCCTACGCGGCTATTCTTAACAGAAAAGAAGGATTGGCTGGCACAATCATTACCTTAAAAGCTCTGGTAGATTGATTTTCTAGGGTGCCACAAGATCCATTGGACTGATTCTTTAGGTGTCATCATTTCCAGGAGTAATATTCTAGTATTATAATTTGTACTTTGATAGACTACTTTTTTAGAGTAATCATATTCGATAAACTAATATTCTTATTTTATAAACTCTGATAGATTGATATTCTAGTACAATAAGCTCCGGTTTACGTTTTCTCTAAAGTAATAATCTTCAGTAGGCCGAGTTTATAGTTTCATAAATTCCGGTAGATTTATATTCTATTATAATTAATAACTTCCGATAGATTCATACCAAGCGCTAATATTTTAAAGGCAGGGACTGTGAAACAGCGTTGTCGTTATAATGCTCATTGAATCGTAAATTCGCAAAGTTCGCCAACTGTTTAAGGTCATTAACACATTATAAAGAGCTTCAAAAACTCCCATAGTAACTTGTGTTCCAAAAAGCAAAAAAAAACATTAGTAAAAAATCTAAAATATAAAAATATCACCCATAAAGGCAAACATTTATATAGACCTGTGTGTTTATAAAAATATAAAAAAAAATTAGTAAAGAATTTTAAACAACAACTGTAAATAGAGCTATGGACTCGTAAAAACAACAATAAAAAACACGCAAAACATTATATTCAATTTATCTTTAAAAAGCTAAAACACTTCTGAAAGTTTCGTGTGTAGGCAGGCCCTCTATTGATAGTGAACACATTTCTAAGGTGACCCTAAAACAATATACTTTTCAATTTTTAATCCGTTTTGCATATTTACTCATCACCAAAACTAATAACCGGAAAAAAAGTTACCGTAATTACTCCTTCAAAATCATGCTGTTAAATGGCAATTGTGTAAATTTGAATACAAAATTACTGAGTAGATCATTGGTTAGGCCACATTTGGGCTCCTTACTTTAGGAAGGAGATTGAATTGTTGGAAATGGTTCAGATGAGAGCTACCAGGATGATACCTGGGATGGAAATGTTCTCATATAAGGATAGGTTAGATCTTTGAACTTGTTTTATCTTGAAAAACGAAGAGATGATTGTTAAGGGAACAGTAAGACTAGGGGACACAAGTATAAATTTTGGCTGGGAAGAAGCCATCTTCAGCTAAGACAGTTTTATTTTTTCTAACAGGGTGGTTGACTTCTGGAACAGATTGCCTTTGGATTTGGTAGTTGCAGTTAATTTAAGGGAGTTTAAAGGAAATTTTGATAAGTATTTGAATGATAAGAGCTGGTTTTGAAGTTATTTTTTCAGGGTTTAGTGGACAAGATGGGTCAAAAGGTCAGTTGTTGTCTTTTAATGTTATGTTTTAATAATTAATAAAGTACTA